AGGAATGGAACAATCAAGAGAAATGGCTTTGCATTCATCATCAAAAAGGACACTTCAAGATTCATCTTGAAGTACAATGCAGCCTGTGATAGGATTATGTCTGTCCACACATGAGGAAATTCAATAAGTACAACCATTATTCAAAATGCACACCAACCACAAAAGCTAGTAGTGCAGAAATTGAAGAATTCTATCAATGTCTTCGGTCTGAAATTGACCAAATTTGCAATCAAGATTCATTGATAATTATTGGTGATTGGAATGTAAAAATTGGAAGCCAAGGAAGAAAAATGTCTTGGAAAATATGGTTGTAGTCACAGAAAAGAAGCCGAGATCACATAATAGAATTTTATAATATCAACAACTTGTTCATAGCAAACACCTTTTTTCCAAAGGTTAAAATGAAGACTATATACATGGACACCTTCAGATGGAATACACATAAATCAAATTGACTACAACTATGGGAGGAGATGATGAGGAAATTTAATACCAGGGGCTCACACCAGGCCAGTGGCTGACTGTGGAACAGACTACCAATTGTTCATGGTTAAGATCAGGTTAAAGCTAAAGAAAGTTAAAGCAAGTCCATGTGAGCAAAAATATGACCTTGAGTCTAGACCACCTGACTTTTGAGAACAGCTCAAGAGTAAATTTGTTGCACTAAACATTATTGACAGAAGGTGAGCTGTGGGAGGACATTATAAACATCATCTAGGAAGGGAGCAAAGGGTCACTGAAAAGACAAGAATGAAAGAAAAGCTTAAAGTGGCTGTCAGAGGAGACTCTGAAACTTGCTCTTCATCATAAAGTAGCTAAGGCAAATGGGGGGAAAATGGAGTAAAGAGCTTAATAGAAAATTTCAAAGGACAGCGTTAGAAGGCAATGCCAAATGTTATAATGATGTGTGTGCAAAGACCCAGACTTAGAAAATAAAAAGGCAAGAACATGGTCAGCATATCTTAAACTGAAAGCACTCAGGAAAAATTCAAGACTCTAGCTGTAATATTTCTGAAAGACGTGATGGGTAAAATAGTGAATGGTACAGGAAGCACCAAAAGAAGATGGAAAGAATACACAGAGTAACTGGACCAAAAAGAAATAGTCGGCAGCCCACCATTTCAGGAGGTTGCATATGAGCATAAACCAACAGCAATGAAGAAGTCCAAGCTCCATTGAAAGCATTAGCCAAAAATAAGGCTCCAAGAATTGGTGGAATATCACTTGAAATGTTTCAACAAGATTGTGAGGGACTGGAAGCACTTATTCATCTATGTCAGGAAATTTGGAAGACAGCTACTTGGGCAACTGACTGAAAGAGATTCATATTTGTGCCCATTCCAAAGAAAGGTGACCCAACAGAATACTCAAATTATGGAACAATATTACTGATATCACATGCAAGTAAAGTTTTCTGGAAGAACATTTAACAACAGTTGCAACAATCCATTAACAGGGATTTTCCACAGGCAAGCTGGATCTAGAGGAGGACGTGGAAAAAGGGATAGATAGCATTGCCAATGTCAGATGGACCTTGGCTGCAATCAGAGAATACCAGAACGTGCCGCGG